TCATCCCCGCGTCTTCCATGGCCAGTGGGGAGAAGGACTAATTGGAGGGAGCGGGACCTGCATTGGTCTTTCTAGGCAAGAGGGTTTATGAAGACTGAGTGGCCTGGAGGTGGTGCTGGTGGGGGGAAGGCTCTGAGGGAGTCCTGGCACCTTGTCTTGAAGGGGAGAGTGCTGGCGCGGGAAGGACAGGTGCTGTCAGCGAGAATGCCACCTCCCTCTTGTGACCTTTACCAAAGACATTTTCTCTGAATGTCAGGTTCATTAGACACAGGATTGGGGGTGGAGGAATGGTTTTAAAACTGAATTAAAGGCAGGACAGACAGACGTCATCATACTGGTGATGACAAGCAGCCAGAAGGGTGACGAGACATGCCCCTTCCAGGGGCCACGTCCTCCCTCTGTTTCTGGGAACAGAGCCATGCTTGTCCTCCCCAGGCTGGAGGTCTCAGGTCAGGGCCACATGCCTCCTTCATGGTGGAGGTCTCAACAGTTCCCGTTGTTCTCTGCCCCGGGGTCCCAGGGCAAGCTGCATCTAGAATGGACCCCCAGTCTGTGATGCTCACCAACTGACTTACTAAGACTTGGTGTCCTGGTTCTCAGAAGGATCAGCCATGCCCCTTTCATACCCTGCCCCTCCCTGAAACATTCAAAATAGGCTCTGGGCTTGCAGCTTCTTGCCCTGCCTGATTCTATCCCTCAGGCCCAGCCCATCCTTTAAGGATCTGTGTGCCTGACTCAGAACGCGCTTTGGGCCACCCCATTCTGGACACTAGAGAAACCAATCAGACATTTGCCCCACCCTCAAGGAGCTCCCAGTTTCATAAGGAAGACTCACAGACACACAAATATTATCAAGTGGTGGACCATGGCAGATGCAGATCCAAAGTAGCGAGTCTCTCTAGGTGGCCAGTCATGAAGGGCTTCCCATGAGAAGGTAATTTCTGAGTTGGGCTCTAAAGAGTGACTAGGAGTTTGTCACTCTGTTCATTTTCTTGTCCTTTCTAGGAGACACCAGTTTCTGAAAACAGAATGGACTGCTTCTGTGAGCTGTGTGCTCCCTGAAGAACACAGGGTAGCTCTGAGTCCCTGACCTTCAAGTCACCTTCATTGCTGTGCAGCATGGTCAGGGCACTGGAGAGCAGGAGCCCATGGATCTCGCTGCTGCTCTCTGCCTCCCAGTTCCCCTCCACAACCCCTCGGCACCCCTGGTGATGCAGGAACGCATGCTGGGCACCTTCTGCTGTCAAACTAACAAGCCTCTCCAGTCTACTGCTGCCAGGGCTCACAGGAACCCGGCTCCTGTGCCGTCTGCTAGGGCATCATGTGTCTGTGCCTGGGCCCACATTGGGTTGCAGGGAGGCAGGGATGAGACCCAGAATAGCAGGCTTCTCCTTTCTGAGTTTCCAGGCTTCACGCGCACACATACGCATGCGTATGCACAGGCACACACACACACACACACACACACACACACACACACACACACACACACACACACACAGAGCTGAGGAACAAAAGCAAAGAAATATGAATACCTGTCTAACTTGTGGACTCCCTAAAATTGTGCTCCAAGCACCAAATCAAATAACTTTAAGGCTAGAAGAAGCAAGCATGTACCTGGGCCATCTTGAGGATGAATCATGCCATCAAGTCAGGCAATGCTGAGAGACAATTTGAGAAAAACTCCCTTCTGGTCCACAGTGTGATCCAGATAGCTGTCCTCGAATCCTCAGGATCTCCCTGCGTGCATGATGCCATCATGGTCTTTGCTCCCACAGGGCCTGCCTTCCAGGACACTTCACCCTCCCATTTGTATCTCATCTCCACACACATTTCTCGGCATATCTTCTATTTTTCTTACATGGGATACTATTTCCTTTGCTCCTGAATACTTTTTAGAAGGGAAGGAAGTTAACATTTGTTGCTTGCTTATGCACTGATGCCTTAACATATTTTATCCTAGTTAATCTTTATAAAAACCCTGTGCATTCCCCCTATGTTATGTATGAACTTCATACAGCTAACAAGTGCCAGGGCTAGGATCTGAGCTTAGGATCATCTCTCTGCTTTTTAACCACATCACTATAACACGCCGCTTCCCTAATGGAAGATTTCCTATGCTCCTTGTCCTCCCTTTCTTTGAAGAACAATATTCCCTAAGCTTGCTAAAATCTGGTTTTTGGCATTCATTACATCTCAGCAGAGGCTTTTTGGAGAATCTTTAATTATTGTTCCATAGTTGCTTTCCTGATCTTCTGTATACGTTGAAAGTCTTTGAGAGTCAACCCTCCCCATTTTTGCAATAAGAGAATGACTGGCATTATCATGCAGTGGCTAAAGCACAGGCTTGAATGAAGTAAACCTGGACTTGAATCTCAGCCCTTTCATTAGCTTGAGGAATTTAACCCAAGTGCTTAACCTCCTAGAATCTCAGTTTCTTTATCTGTAGAAGATGACTAATACCACTTTCCTCATTTTAAGGATTAATGGCATATATAGAAAGTGTTTAGCCACTGTCTGACACATGATAAACACTCAGATAATGGTAAAAGTACAAGGAAGAAGGAAAACAGAAAATGAAAATGAAAAAAAGGCAGTTATCCAAAAACATAGTGAGAAAATTGCCCAGAACTGAAGGATACGAGTCTTCAGATTTAAAGATTTAACCAAGTGCTCAGTGCAATGAAGGATAAAGACAAAAAGGGCACCTTATAAAATTCCAGAATATAGGGATAAAGAAAATATTCTTTATCAAGGAACAGTCTATATACACTAGAATAGGAATTCCATTAGCCTTTACAATAGTAACAGTGGAAGCTGGAGGACAATAAAATAACATCTTCAAATTTCTGAGAGAAAATGATTATTAACCTAGAATTCTATACCCAGTCAAACCAGCACTCTAGACAAAAATGGCAGAACAAATAATAGAGTTCAAATGTCTGAACTCTTAGCTGATTGAAGAGGAAACCAAAAAGGTTAAATGATGTCTAGTTAGTGACCAAGCTGGAGACAAAGCCTGGCCTGGGCATCAGTTCAGTAGAATATAACTGTTGGAATATAAAAGTTCACTACTTGGCTGGTAAATGAATCAAATTCCTTGGATGTAAACAATGTTTCCTTGAGCAACTGACATTAGTTTAAATGAATTTGGCTCTGCCAATTAGTAGGTTAGAAAACTCAACAAACCTCCCAGAGTAGGGATGACTTGGAAAATAATAGCAGAGAGGCTGAAAGGGCCAATCTACTTACAGATTTAATTCCTCCATTGATAAGGATATTGCCAAATGCCCGATATAATCTATTTTCTTAAAAACTAGCAACTTAAAAAATTATTGGCCTTTGGGAGGCTGAGGTGAGTGGATTGCCTGAGCCCGTGGGTTCGAGACCCGCCTGGGCAGCGAGACCTCATCTCTACAATAAATCAAAAAATTAGACAGGCGTGGTAGAGCACACCTGTAGTTACAGCTACTTGGAAGGCTGAGGCAGAAGGATCTCTGGAGCCCAGCAGGTCGAGGCTGCGGTGGCCGGGAGCGGCCACTGCACTCCAGTCTGGGCGACAGAATGAGACTTCAACTCAAAAAACAATTAAAAAAATAAAAATAAAATAAAATAAAAAATTAGCCAGGCGTGGTAGCGCGCACCTATAGTTCCAGCTACATGGAAGGCTGAGGCGGAAGGATCGCCGGAGACCAGCAGGTGGAGGCTGCGGTGGCCAGGAGCGGCCACTGTACTCCAGTCTGGGCGACAGAGTGAGACTCCAACTCAAAAAAAAAACCAAACAAAACAGGCTTGGTGGCTCAGCCTGTAATCCTGCGCTTTTGGGAGGCTGAGGTGAGTGGATTGCCTGAGCCCGAGGGTTCGAGACCCGCCTGGGCAGCGAGACTTCATCTCTACGATAAATAAAAAAATCAGCCGGGCGTGGTAGCGTGTGCCTGTAGTTCCAGCTACGTGGAAGGCTGAGGCAGAAGGATCGCCGGAGCCCAGCAGGCGAGGCTGCGGTGGCCAGGAGCGGCCACTGCTCTCCAGTCTGGGTGACAGAGTGAGGCTCCAACTTGGAAAAAAAAAAAAAAAAGTTATTGGCAATAATATCAAAGTCTTCAAAATGTTCTTACTCTATAACTTTGAGTATATTACCTCATCTGTGTCTCTCTGCCTATAAGCAGGGGAAATAAAAGCATCTACCTCAGAGTTATAAGACGCATATATATGTCAAGCACTTAAAACAACATCTAGTATATGGTAAGTGCTCAAAACTGTAAGTTTGGTTGTAGTTTTGGTATTAGTCATAGCAATTCTACTTCTAGAAACCTATTTTGAGGAAAAAAGAGTTTTAGTCAAAAATGCATATAAAAAGATGCTGTTTTATTCGTAACTTAACTGTTTTAAAAAAAATTTTCTAATGAACATTTATTTGGCTCACAGCTCTGAAGGTTGAGAAGTTCAAAATCAAGGGGCTACATCTGCTGAGGGCCTTCTTAACATGCATCACAGCATGGTGGAAGTCATCACATGGGTGAGAGAGAGTACACGAAAGAGGGCAAGAAAGTGAACTTGCAGCCTTAAGCTCTTTTATAATTAGCATTAATTCAATTCATGAGGGTGGAGTCTTCATGACCCAAATACCTCCTATTAGGTCCTACCTCCCAACACTGTTACATTGGGTATTGTTTCCAAACTTAACTAAAATTTATTTCTAAATTTAGAAGCAGTTTAAGTTTTTGACACAGATAATTGGACAAATAAATTATAATACCTCCATACTAGGAAAATATTATGCAGTCAGTCACTCAAAATAGTGTTTTGTTAAAGACTCTCTTATGGAATTAAAAATGGTCATGATAGAATCTATTAAGGGAGGAATACAAAATTATACATATTACAAACTAAAAGTAGAAAAAATTATGTGCATATACAGAGTAAGTATACAAAATAAAGATAATTATACATATATACTATAAACTTGCAGAGCTATAAATATAAGTTTCTATAAGTAGAAATATATATTTATCTAAATAGATACATAAGACATTTTTAAAATGTTAAAAAAAGACAAAATAAAAGCTAAGAAAGTAAAACAAAAATATTAAAAATGGAAAATTTTAAAGTTCTTCCCTTTCTATTCTTCTATGATTTCTAAAATTTTTTGTGAGTCTAAATTACCAGAAATCGGGAAAAATGTAGTAAACTGAAAAGCCATTTAAAATACTTATGTTTTGCATTCATTAAAGTGCAGAGTAAAGAAAAAAAGACTCAAGCTTATAAATTTTGTAATACAGCTGCATTCTTAACAACATCTCTTGGATCATCAATATTTCAGGATTAAACTTTGCCTTCTGTATCAAATCCCTCCCCCACATTTGCTTCAAGGCAACTCAGGCATCAGACATGAGCAGACAATCAGTGTTTACTCAGGAAGATCAATGAAAGCACTGAGCATTCATTGCCTAAGAACTCAATGGCCTCTCAATGATTTTGTCTTCATTCCAGAGCTGTGATGGAGATGAGCACTAGGTACCTTGGAGACAGCAGATCTGGGTTTAGACCTGGGCTCTGCTATTGCCTTGCTTTGGGATTTGGGGACTAGAATTAATTATTCTGAATTTGTAAGATGGTGGGCGTTAATCCCAAGGATTAATGAAGATAACAGACATGAAAGTACTTGGCACAGTGCCTGGTATCCAATAGGTGTCCAATAGCTACATGGTAACTATTAAAATGACTATTGAACATGCGTTGAAGGTTAAGTGTGAGCAGTTTGCAGCTGGATTTGGTCTGGCACCTATTCCAGTGAACGGTGGAGAGGATATGAAGCTAGTCATTTCCATGCTTTCAAAAAATATCTCATTTTTACTAGTATTTGATTTCTAGCACTGTATATTTTTCCCACTGAACCTGCCTCCTAATAAAGCAAGACTTAGATTGTAGGCAAATGACATACCCTTTAAATTAGTAAGAGACATTATCTGCAAGGCTACTTTATCCTCCCAACCTTCCTGAGAATGTGAATGCATTCGATGAGGTATCCCTAGCACACAACTACACGAGGTTCTGCTTTTTCATGACTAGATTTGACTAAGACTGACCTTTTCCTGGATATGAAGAATCACAGAGTGTTATCGCTGACACAAAAGAGCCATCTACTCCTGTTATTTTATCAATAGGTTAAATGATTTGTCTAGAGGACTATGATACTGAGGTTTGTGTTCTTTCTAGTTCAACATGCTGGAAAGGAGAGGGTGCTGGGTAACCAAAGTCAAAACAAATGAAAATAACTAGTTAAGAAGCGATTTCTAGCCCTACTCAATGCCACACTTAATATAGTTAATATTCAAAGACAAAATTCAACTAGGGAAAAAAAAAAGATCAACCTAAGTCCTAAGAATTAAAAGGATTGAATACAATGGACAGCAGAGGGAGCTATTAGCTTGAATTAATCACCTGAATACATCACTTCCCTTCAATAATAAATATTTGGGGTTTATAGGTAGCTGCTTCCAATCTACAGTGATACTCAAGCTTTTCACTACCTTGTCAGAAAGGCAACCACTTCTGAGGCAAATCTTCACAAGGTCGTTGGAACTGGATAGGTGTAGCATACTCTTTTACTCATATTTTTTTAAGTTTTTGCTATTCTAGACACTTTTTATTGCCACTTCTACACTGCAAGGGCCTATAAGTATAAATGAAATAAGCAACAGTTTGTTTTTATCCCCAAAAACAAAGCACACAGAAACACGCAAAACAAAACACCTCTCTTCTGGCCATCAGAACATCGGGAAGCAGCTGGATTACTTACCGCAAAAACCCCACGAACTACCCAGCCGTGGTGCTGCCGTAATGTTTTACCATATGCGTTATCTTGAAAAGAAGAAAAACTCCATGAGTAAAAATTTCATCAGAATTTGATGTGCTATTTGTATAATGTACTTTCTAATGTATTCAGTACCACAGTACTCCTGGCATTTGGAACTGAGAAAAAAAAAACTACAAGATTTTGTACCCCAAGTCTAAAGTAGGAAAAAAGCCCATGTGGATGATTATTATTTTTTAAAGAAAAACAAATATTTCCACTCTTACTCTGGGTCAATATATCTGAACTTTAGCTTATTATGATGTTGGGAAAAGTTCAATATATATAAAGAAATAAAGAGTAAGAAAAGGATATTGAAAAACTGAGACTGAATACAATAAGAAATAAGTTCTCTGAAATGCTGTGTGACCCTGAGCCAGTCCCTCAGTTACCCTCTCTAACCATGCTTCCCCTTTGGAAAATGGTCTCTAAGGTTCTTTCAAATGCTAACATTCTATTCTGGGATTTCAAATGTTTGTCCTAAATGTCCCTTTGGCCCCAATGTACAATATTACAGCTAGAAACATTTAAAAATATTATGGAAAGAATGGCTTGACAATATTAAGCTAAAGTAATTGATGAGATCCATTAACAAAAGTCATTCATGTTTTATACTTTAAAGATAATCTATAATTTTTGTCCCAGTGTAAAATGAGATTTTAAAACTGGTATATAATAATTTTAATTACAAAAAAAATTCCAAGAACCAGATGGATGCATTTTATGCAAAGTATGTGTTTCTGAAGACTTGGAATAATTCAATATATGCAAAACTCAAAACTGATTTTTCCACAGGAATAAATGATTCTCAGGAGGCACAGATCTCCATCACTATGGAACCTTTTTATTCCAATGTTCCACTTTATTTTCTAAGCATCATCTGCAGTAGTTACAGAGTGCTTATCCCTAAATTAACAACACAGCATATCACGGTGGCTATCTGACCCTCTTCATCATGTTTTAACAAATATAAATTCTATTCCAAAATTATTTGTTTTAATGTACTAGTTTCAGTACTAGTACAAGTACTACCACTATTTCATGAATGCTTAGGTGACATTATAGGCTATAAAATATTTCCAATTATAATAAGAGCAGATGTTAAAATAACAGAAAAACAGACACTAAAACCACAAGTACCAGTTTCTATGCAGTAAAAAGCAATGTGGTGCACAGGACACTGACAAAGGAAGGCAGATATTTTGCATTTTACTGGCCTAAGGAGCACTACCATATGGCTAGCAGCCTAAACGAAGTTTTCAATTTATTCAAGCCTCCAGCTTTGAAATGATATAATTTTAGTCTGCTTTTATTTTAAAAATTTGAGAGAGGCTTCATTAATACTTTTAGTAAATACCATTTAAATTTTACATAATTCAAATTTGCATACAACGCAATTGTATATTATATACAAGAATATATTACATTGCAATATATAAGGGAGGACCTCCCCCCAAAAAACATAATTATTTTTTTGGAGGGCAGGCCCCTTGTAGTACTGGCTTCCATCACTAGGTAAGTGTTCTAGGAACCCACTGGCATCAGTGTACCAGCTAGCTTCGTTGTGAGAGGCTGCATTCGGCTTCAGCGAATTTTTTTTGGAGATTCTTTCAATGCATTTCATGGTGGTTGATTTACGAGCACACCTGACCACATCACACTGAGTGTTAGTAGTTTTTGACCAGAAAAACAGCATGACCCTGTGTGCCCCACCCTCCCTATTTACCTCATCTTGCACTGAGCAACTATTTTTTGTTTCCCAGATAAAAAGTCCTCAAAGGGAAACATTTGCTGATGTCCATGAGGCAAAACAAAAAATGGCAGAAGCACTAAAAGGCATCAAAATTTATGAGTTTAAAAACTATTTTGAGCACTGGAAAAAGCATCTGGATAGGTATATTGCATCAAATGAGGAGTACTTTGAAGCTGACTGAAGTTAAAACACGTAAGACTAAATACACAATTTTTTATAAATAAGTTCTGGGGTTTTTGGGAGGGTCCCCCTTCGTATTTTATATCAAAGACACTTGAAACATAACAGCAGATCTCTCTGGCTATCTAAAATATTAGGAGCAGGGTGGAATGCCGGCTTCCTGGGAGTAAAGCTAAAGTAGAAGTAACAAATGATAAAGAATTAATACACTTGAGTATGGAGAAGACTCTTAGAAACAGCCTACAGAAGAACCCCAAATTAAATTTTTCTCTTGAGAGAATCGTCTGAGCAAACCAGGCATGGTCAAAGATAGATGTCCTTAATGTAAGTCACATATAAAATTTAACTGATTCTCTGTAAGGGGACATATGGTATCAAGGAAATTTTAGATGGCATATAAGGGCTTAGTGAAGACATCTTGAGAAATGTGAAGAAAAGGGTTGCTGACTCACAAAGTATATACTACAGATGGGTAGAGAACATTAGACACAGCCTCTGAGAAAAACAGATAACCAGATTTCAACCATTTGAGAAGCCATCCACACTGGCAAGAGGGTGTACAGTACAGGACCACAGACAACATCCTGAGGTGAGTTACTGAGATAAGATAGTGGGAATCCTTTCTTATGATCCTATTCCAGGCAGGACATCAAATGCCATTATAAACAAATATATTAAATACCATGAAAATCTGGAGGTGGATATCTACCATGAATAGCTGCTCTGTTCAATAAGAATGAAGTGCAAGTCTACCATACTCCACATACGATGGAAGGCGGTAAGATCCTCAGGGGCTTTAACTCGGTCAATCCCCTGCCCTCAAGAAGCTGATGGGTCAATAAGAGAGCCAGCCACTTAACAAAGCATTATTACATAAATTGCTAACTGCTATAGTAGAGATTTGTATCCAGTGCTGCAGGAACAGAAAGGAGAGAGAAACTAATCCAGCTGGGAGGGTGTGTGGACAGAGAGAGTTCTCTGAAGGAGCCTGGAAGGCTGGGTAGGGTAGGGAGAAGGGTGGTAGATGCTGCTGCAGACAGAGGAAACACCATGAAGTTGTGAAAAGCCATGGTGTGCTGGGTGATGGTGAGCAATTGACTGGGGCTGAAACATGGGGGCTGGGGCCAAATTGTGAGGATCTTTATCCCACTATATCAAAGATTCTGAACTTCCAACTTTAGTAGCAATTTTGCAAAATACAACATACATCACTCTTTTCTGACTTCGCAAGTAATGCATACTCACTGTCAAAAATAAGAAAAATATCAGAAAAGGAGAGAACTATAATCCTTTCTCCCAGAGATAACCACAGTGAGCACTTTGGGGAAAATATTCTCTTAGGCTTTTTTCTTATACAGAAAGTATTACATTCTTCCGTTAATAAAGTCATTATTATTCTGAGTTGGAGTTGTGGTAGGAAAGTTAACAAGATGAGATTCACACTCCTTTACAGTCTGTGGTAGACACGGCTGTCTTGGTTCCTGAGCCTCCAGCTCCAAAGCCCACCTGGCTGGACAAATTGCATGTTTAAAAGGGCTCTGGATTCAGGGCTGTGCCAACAATAGAGACTTTATAACTTTCCTACACTTTGTCATGTGAGTCAACCATTCAGAAAAGCTTAGAAACTCTTCTCCATGTCCCCTTCTAAAGAACAGCAAGAACACAATGAAGACAACGGTGCTGTGAGTCCAAATAGCATTGGCAGCCTGGCCTAAAGTTGGAGGAGGGTTTGCACAGCAGCATCTGTGCCTTCCCACTTGGTCCTTGTAGAGGAAGTAGCTGTTCCCTGTTGTGCCTGTACCTGGCCAGAGGACAGCTCTATCTAGCAAATGTTAGCTAGATAGCCTAATGGGAGAGGAGGAGTCACAGAATCTGGGCTGGGTCCTGACTCAGGTCTAGAAAGACCACTGCTGCAATGTAAAACTGACAAATGAAATAAAACTCATTAAAAAAAAGTCAAAAAGTCCTTAGCTGACTCATAGGACTGCAAATATTCCTGCCACATGAGACTGCATTAAAGTAAGATGAAGTCTAAGCCTGACCTATTTTAGTTACCTAGAGAAGATTAGATAATGAAATACATTAATCTTCACTGTAATACCCATTCATTATCATAATGCATGTTCCATAATCAGTGAGTATTTTTGGCCTCTGAAAGACATAAATGATACCTTTCTCCCAGTTCTTTGAGATGTGTTAGTTCACCAGAGACTCAGTCAAAATTTCCAAGCAGGAAGGCTTAATAATCACCTTACCCAATTCTTTCCTTTCAAAAATGAAGAAATGAAAGACCCAGAGAGGTAGTGATTTGCCCAACATCACAAAGCTAAAAGCAATGAGAATTTAGGGCATTCCTGCCATATCAAACCATTCTGTCAGAAAACTAATGTTTATTCTTTATGAAACAAAGCAAAAAAAAAAAAAAAGAAGATGAAAAAGAAAAATGAACCTTTTTCTGCTGTTTTTTTGAATTAACACCTTATTTTGGCTATAGAAAAGCACAGATTTGATTGATTTACTGGTATCTCAGACTTGCTATCAGGTATTAGAGGTTATGCATAAGCCTTTTATAGCCCCGAGAGAGAACAACCTACCCATTACTGTTGGTGGAAAACTATTCTGTCCAGGAACTGTGCATAGGAGTAATTTTCTATTGTAAACCTATAATTGGCAAAGTTACTTTGGGTTGTAGAGAAGACAAGAAATGCAAATCTAAGTCTTAACACATTTTGGCAAATTTTTCACTTTCCTAACTGAGAGTGGGTGAAAATGAGAAAAATCTGAAGCCGGTTGCTGCAAACTTCTGTCGTTAAGCACAAATGAAATAGTCTTTTCTCAATTTTCACCTTTTTCACAATACAGTTGAAAGTTGCAGATGTATCCAATATTTGCCTCAGATACCACTCTGAGTAGCATTCTGTACTTTATATTTTTATTTGGATTATAAACCGAATATATATTACATATATATTTCTTTTTTTTTTTTTTGAGTCGAAGTCTCACTCTGTCACACCCAGACTGGAGTGCAGTGCCCGCTCCCGGCCACTGCAGCCTCGACCTGCTGGGCTCCGGAGA